TTTTTTCCAATTATGTAAGTACCAAAAATCAAACAAAATAAGAGAGTCATTATAGAATATACAAATATAATATTTTTTTCAAGTGTATATTAAAACTTAAAACCGAGATTAAAACTGATTTAAATGTTTATTATTAATTTAATGTCTTTTAAAAAACAAAAAAAATTAGATTATTTATATTTTCCATAAATTAATATTATGTTGATCGATAGATATGGTTTTTTTTTTTCTGAGCTACTATTATAATTTTATCTCTTTATAGTTTATTGAATAAAGTTTTATAATTATTCTCATATTTGAATGTATTATTATGTCCAATGAAATTGAACATAATATGTTTTATAGTGTGAACATTAATTTTCAATATGGATAATTTATTTAATACGCGTGATTTTGGGTGGGAGTTTTTGATTAAACATAAATATTTTTATCTTACTTAAATAAAATGTATCATTATAATAATTTATATCAATTTATAATACAGGTAATATAGTACAGGTCATAATATTATATTATGATTATACATGCTATGGAAATCATAGGTAGGTTATACTTAAACATAAATGTTGCACCTGCATGAACTATAATTTAATTTTTAATAATATCTACACAAGTTTATTGTACAATGAAACGAAACCAATGAAATATTTACCCACTACATAATAATATTATACTAGATTAGTATAAGAAAGTTTAAATATTTTCTTGTGGCACGGAAGAATTCGGTTTAGTTTTCAGCTGCGTCAGGCAATTTATACCCATAGAGTTTACCCACTGAACTCAATACACGTGGTGTTCAATAAACATTTTATTGTACACACATGTGTTCAATTTATTGGAATTTTGGACCGCCGCTGTTCGGAAGAAACGGGGATCCTTATTATATTGTAGTGGTTGAATCTTATAAACACTTCAAGCGTACAGTTTAATGCACAATAAATCATTGAACACTGCTGCAGTTGTGTGTACCTCATGTTATTGTTATTACATATCAGCTGTCTTGCTCACCACGAATATCATCACGTAGCCAATCTTGCATCATTATAAATATCCGTAGTAAATTTAATTCGGTATTATTACTGTAGTATCGTGTGCGTGTGTATACTTTGTATGCCAAACAAATAATATTAGAATGTATCTAATGAGAATTTATTTTCTTTACGACAATACTATTAATGTTTTTTTTCTATACCAACTTCGTCCCCTCTTTTCAAAATAAATAGAAGTTAGGTACTGACATGATAAAATATGTTGACATCAATAGTTCAGTACCTATTTCCACATATAACTTATCTAATAAATATTTGTTTCAATTTGATCCTTATTGGCAATTTGGCATTAAGTATAATATTATAACGTTGTTTATTAAATCATCGCCAACCTAGTCCTAAATTTTTTGGATTGAAATACCTATATAGATTTAATGTTTGACATTATTAGCTGACAGTAACTAGTTACAAAGTTACAAAAATCAGTGACTTTATAACTTGTAAGTTACTTTTAATTTTCTTGTTAATTGTGACTTAACGAGTTACTTTTGAATCAAAAAATTACACATTAGTTTTTATCATTTTATCATCAATATCTTGCAACTCGGAATTATTTTTTCGTAAGAGTATCGACGTGTACACGTACCTGTCATGATGAACAAAAAAAATATATCTTTACCAAGATTTATCTATACATCTTGATTTTTACATACCTTATACAATGTGATAACATTTTTATAACATGCTGTTATGGAAAACTTGTTTCTTACATTAATTCATAATCGAAGAATTAAAAATTAAAAAGTTAAACACAGCATTAAAAAAAAAAAAGTTGATACTGGGGATGGTTGTGGCCACTGTTGTAGCTTGTGTAGCTGGGAAGGTAGGATACATTGTGTTATTTAATTTATACCTGTAACAAACGATAAACCATTGTTAACGAAAAACGATTTGGAGAGACATTCGGTTAGAAATATTTTGAAAGGCTGTAGTATTTATGATGTTCGTCAAAATTTGATTTTAAAACTCTTAAAAAGAAATACTACATTACACTTGATTTTTGTTTTAATTACTTAGCACGACTTATAATGAAATTCCTACCAAATAAATATTACACAAACAAATTCGCAAGAGAAAATGTGTACAAATAGTCCAAAAATGGCATAAATATTTGAAAATTTTACCACATCTAGAAAAAAACAATATTAATGTTCTATACAAATTTAAAGTCTCTACGAATATTGTTAACTGAATTAGATAAAAAAAAAAAAAACAATAGGTATTTAAATAATAAAATAATTATTTTCATAATTTTTCCCGTACTTTCTACGTATTTTTCCGGTTTTGCTCAATCATTAAAAAAAACATGAATTACTTACACACGAATTAGATTAAAAATGTAACAAAGTGTTTCGTGTTGTTTTTCTATTGGAGGAATATTTTTTGTCATAAACTATAATTACAATAAAGCACCGTAAATTTATCAGTTTTTATTTTTCGTTATTTTCCGAGTTTGAATGCATAACTTTTAATGTAAATTACATTAAATTTTCAAGCATTTCCTTTAAGTCATATCATTTACATGCAATAAGAAATATACCTACTAAATAAAAATATATATAAAAACACGAAAATATTAAATATCTATATTTATATTTAGCCTAAAAATAACTAGAATGTTTTGAACATTTTATCATGTCTACAAAAAGTCAATATAAGTAAAAACTATAGGTATCCATAGTCATTTTTAACTGATTAACAACAAAAAAACCCAAATACCGTACACTCTACCGTAAGCATACATCATAGTAAAACTAATATTTACACTCAAATCTAATAAAATAAACATCATTATAAAACCAATAAATTCTTCACTTTTAGAATCTAAAAATAAAGTTGACTTAAGCTGTTTTTAAGAGTCTAAGAGGCTAAGACATAACCAATATTATAAGTAGTACTACTAAGTCGTCTACTACTGTTTTCTAGACAACTATAATGTATACAAAAACAGTTTGAAAATGCAATCACAATTGGTTTGTTTTATTGTATTAATAGCCATGCGTAGATACTCTCCTATATTGATCGTTCTCACGGGCCACGGCGAATAACAATGACATTAATGACAACCATATAATATTATGCACCTACTTTTTTAATTATCTATTTACAAATGCCCTTTTAGAACTCACTCTTATATAAATGAAAGAAATGTATTCTTATATGTAGAAAAGTTTTCCATCCGTTATCCCGCAATCATTTATCATTAGTTAATTCACATTTCGCGTTATACATTACAATTCCGGTTTAGAGTGACCGAACATATTTTTTCAAACAAGCAACGAAATGTAAGTAGATAATACTATAATGGGTATAAACGTGTAATTTATTGATTTGTATTGTGTAGTAGGTATAAGCTTGTAGAAAGATAAATAACATACCTATTATTGTGTCTGCAACCCTTACATTTTGGCAATATCGTATATTGTATATAATATAATATTAAAAGAGAAAGTAATGAGTACGTAAATTATTATGTTTTTATTTTATTGTGGGTCGAGTTGTAAACACTTTGGCATAGGAAAAAAAAGACAATAGCTTGTAATAAAAGAAAAGAGAGACAAACGAATATAAATATATATATACATCTAGATATACTAATAAACGTGAGTAAAAAACCGGTTCATTTTGTCGGGTCATACTTGTGTCAAGGGTACAGACAGAAATTATTATTATTGTACCATATCCTGTTCTTTTTTTTTTCATTTGTACTTACCTATACCTATTTACTTTCTTTTTTAAAAACAATTTTCGTTTTAATTGTGATTTTATATTCTGTGGAAAATTATAATATGCTAATCCCAGGTTTGTGGAATTTGTAAAAATTTTGTTTAAGTACCTACGTAACCGACAAAAAAAGTATGTACGTAAGTCGTTTGTTTCAGGTATTTACTCTTAGTTGGTTTAGTACTGTATTGGATGTTCGATGAACCGTTGAAATTTGCCGGGCATAAAATATGGCCAATACATACGACCTAAATTTTAATGGCCAAGCATATTGCAGTGTACAATAGTTGTACAAAATAGTGTACAAAATGTTATGATAAAAATAATTATTGTTTCGGATTTATAATTTTTGTCTCCTCGGGCGTGTTATGGCTATTGGCTGCCTACGAACGACGATTTCTGTAATAATAACACAATAATCCGGTCTATAGATAACGAAATAATAATTATTATTATTATGACGTTTCCTTTGTATCGTTAAAACATTTTGTTGTTAGATATTATTATAATTTATTATATAGATGTTAATATAATTATTTAAATGACTTATTGTATTATTCATTTCGTTGGCTTAATTTCCAATTGCCATAAATCCAAACATATGATTTTATATTTTCGATAATATTAAATTCAATAAATGATTACATATCGTTTAAAAGCATGGCGACTAAGGAAAAAAAAATGTTCTCCTATGAAATGCTGATTAAATACATACAAATTGTTACGTTGAAATAATGAAATACACGTTTTCATCGAATCTCTATAATATAAAACATTGTCATTTTGGAATTAGGACAATTATTGTAAATTAGGTCAACGATAAAATATTTTTTTTTGTTCAATTTTTGCCTATAACAGAGACTATTGCAGTATATTCATATATAATAATTTTATATTATTTTTCCCACAATTAATAAACACTTTAAAGCGACTTCATCTGGATCAAATTAGGTCAAAATTCAGGAATGAATTGTTTTATGGGCAAATTTAAGTGATAAAAATTAGATTTTATGAATTTTAGCACTTTGTTGCGGAAGGAGAATGTTTTTTGGACTTTGAACCCTATACATACTCTCCAAATGAAGCTGCGGGCACACAATTTTGTATAATATGCATGGTGTTAATGTCGAGGATGTGTCTTTTGGTGGTTTTAAATTTCAACCTCTGCATCAACCATATTTTTAAAGAAATTTTTAACTAGTATTTATAGTATTTTAGTATTCGGTTATTTATATTGTTTTACAAAATAACGTTTCTATAATATACTAATTATGTGGGGGGGGGGAATTTGACTATTGACGTGGATTTTACGGATGTTTTTTATAATACAGTGTATTATAATTAGTAAAATAAAAACAACAAATTTATCTTATCATCTTATTCGATTTTCCTTTCTAAAGAGTTGTCATCATTATTTTTGTCCGTGAACACAAAGTAATGTTGTACCGCATTTTGATGGATTGATAGATTGGAATGCCGCAGTATTCCCATGACAATTGGTCTAAAGAAAAAAAATATATATTATACAAGATTGGTTACAGGTGATTATGTATAATTTTATACCCGAGATCGTTATTTTTTTTGCTTTTAGAAAAATCTATTTTTCAATTTTCGGTTGACTATCATTATATAGATATTTACTTCGCTGTTTTCGGTGGTTTTTATAATATCTACGTCGCCTTAAAAAATACTGAAAATAAAAGATACGTTTTTTTCGTTTATTTATTTGGAATAATTTTTGTTGTGTAGATTATAAGATTTATTATAATAGAGAATTTTCATGAAGTGCTTTTTCCTACGCGCTATTGTAGCTCTATACAAAATGTAATATAATACCTATAAAAATCGAAATTTTCAGTGACCACTGACATTGTTGTAGTGACTAGGCCTTCTTGTTAGGTGAAGGGTAACTCAACTATTATTTCCCATAAATTAAATTAATTTTTTTAAAAAATTAACAGCAGTTAATAGGTATAAATCTATGATTATTGTGTATTATATATATGTACTAAATAATATATATAATTATTTATGATTTTAAAACTGTATTATCAGTGGCGGATCCACATCCTTAATTTTGGGAGAATTAAATCATAAAATAATAAACTGTATATATTTTACCACAACACAAGAAAACAAGTATTCTATATTTCGGTGTTGGGAGGGGAAGAGACCCTATTACTCCCCTCACCAGGATCTATCACTGACTTACATGTAATATATAATTATTATTATTATTTTCGATTTAAAATTAGGTGTAGGTCCAACGTGAGTCCACTAAATATGTTCTTCAAATTTAATTGGGAGGGGGACATACGATTTTCAAACGAAAATGTTCAAGCTTACATAATATCTATGCACGAGACAATATCGTCTACTCATTTCTTTGATTGGAATCTAGAATTTTTTTTTAACAGTTTCTTTAACGTTTCACAAAACGTAATTTACACGTCTTCTGATAATTAGTTGATAATAGTATAGTATAGTTCGTTAACGTCTGATAACTCGTGTTGTTTTTGTTTCACTTGGCTAAATATTGTTCGAGATACCGTAATAATAGTGTGATGTCGTTACATTTCACGTGTGAGTGATAATATTGTTATGCGGGTATGCCTGTACTATGAACCGACTATCTTTTAAATTATATAAAAAAAAAAAAAAAACAAATATAAAAATCACATAAATCGAATAGCGTTGGTTTCATGTGGATAATTATTGTCATTGTCGTATGAATTAGGTATACGGTTATTTCTTATCGTTACAATATTTGAATATGAACCTTTAGTCTTTTGAATGCAAGATAGACAGATTAGGCACATCAAATACACATTAATGGTAAAAAAAAATAGGTACTATAAAACGCATAATTACGATTTCTATTGCTTTAATACCGTATCGTTTTCCGTTTCGACCGTATCCGAAGAAATTTGTTATATCCGTGTAAGTGATAATAGTGTTATATAATCCGATTTCGTGTATAGTTGCACTGCATAATATCGTAACATCAGGACGTATAAAAGGGTAAATCTTACTTATATTAACTTAATTAATTTTGGTCTTTTATAAGTATTATAAGTATTTTTTATTGTATAATATAATACAAACGGTATTTTTGAACATTTCTAAGTAGAAGCATATCTTGTATATTCTCTGTGTTATTATCAAGGATATAGCTTTTTGGTGGTTTCAACTTTCAACCTCCGCACCTATCATTTTTATGTTTAAATTTATTTATTTTTATTTTTTGAAACAATGTACAGTAAGTTATATATAATAGGTATAATAATTTATTTACTCGAAAGAGCTGTGCAAACTGATACAATTGCAGTAACGTGAAATAATATTAATATTATACAATAAACTTTACATCTGAGAAAACAAACTATTGTAATAATGTTGTTAAAATTCTTCGACCGTATACTCAGGGTTATTTTTTTTGTAATTATGTCAAAGGTATATACAAATTATACGTGTATAAAATATAAAATATACGATAATAATTAATTACTTATATCTTCAATTGACTACAAAATGTGTCGTTGTAAAACTTTTATCTCATATCTCTAAAAAGTTATTTTTTTAACCTAATTTAAAGATACGATATATTTTGACAGTAATTTTAATGATGGATATATGTTAAAGTTTGTCCACGTTTATATTATTCTCCTTGAATTTTTAATTCTTTTTGAATTTTTCTCCTTAGATTATTCGTAGTTTTTTTTGTATGAATTAATTTATATAACTCGATTTTACTTTTTCGGATATACGAGGTATTAATTAAACAACAAAGATAGGTTTTTATAATGTCTTTACAATCGTTTTATAATAGTTTATTACTAGTCCTGGTTTTTATGTTGTATCATCACAGTGGTTGTTATGGGATAGTAACACGATCTCACAAGTTTCATCTCGTTTACTTAAACAAATTTACCTATTATCTTATTATTACAAATATTTAGTATGGATACAATAAACTTATATTTGCCTTTTTTAGACGAAATAAAATGTTTGAGTTATTTATAGATATTTTAATTTGTGAGTTTTTTATGTGATTTTTATTCAATAAGTACTCTGTAGATAAAATTGTCAGATCAAATAAAAATTTAACGGGAGGTTGATTGTAAGTTGTATTTAGTGATAAACAAGAAAAATATGGATTTAATCTAGTATTTTTTTTAAAAAAGAATTTTAATATCAAATTTTGACGAAAATCGTAAATAATACTTCTTTTTAAACCTAACTTATAACCGAACTCCGCACAGAATCGTTTTTATCATCAATGATTAATCGTTTCATATATGTAGATATACATTAAATTCTCCTCTATATGTTACCTTTTCAACTTTTCATATACAGCAATGACTCACCCATCCTGCGAAATATGTCTGTCTTTTTAAATGTTTTTTTTTTATATCATCATAAACATTTTTCTCTGAAAACATCTGATCAAATATCGGTTTTGAAATTTTCCAATACCCTCAATATCGTCCGATATACTCCAATGTACTTGTGTAATTTACTCAAGAAACGGGCATGATTGCAAATTGATTCGTATTTTCTAGATCACGGAAACGCGAGGAAATTTTTCCATAATAAACGAACGTTTTTCTTTTTTTTGCAGTATATCAATTCTGATCGATAAAGAACGGCCGTTTTAACGCGTTGACTGCAATATATAGATTTTTTGTACACTGCAAATTTGCTGTTCATATGCCAAAGTATAAAAAGAAAACAAATATTCAATAATTTAACATTAATTATATATTAATCATAACATAATAATTATTTGGCATTATTTTTTCTCGACACTTCCGTGTTACGTTTTTGAATACGAAGGTATAGTGAACCCAATTGTGCCAATTTATGGCGTGATGAACACAAAAATGTATGCATACCCCCGTGCGTGACAGTTAACGTGTTAAAAATGAAATTACTCGTTTGACTTTTTACGAAAAAGTGTATTCAGTATATTAACTTCCAATTTAATGCAATTTCTCGAGCATATTATATAAGTTATATATGCTTAAAAAATTATACATACATAAATGATTTTACGATTAACGACCCTATTAAAACTGTCGAGGTACGCGAACCTGTGTTTTTTATTTTATTTTTTTTCGACCGTGAAGATCTTAAAGTAAGTTTATCGTTGGCTATCACTACGAAAAGCACTTGAAAAAAAATTGTATTCAATTTTTTCCCGTGTACATTGTTTGCGTCGTATAGTAACCGTGCGTGGTAAACCCAATCTCCTTGACCTCTCGAGTGGTCTGCAGTAGGCGTCATATACGATGCGTAAAAACTTGAAACTCCCAACGGCATATTATCAGCGGAGATGGGCGGATCACCCCTCTCCTCACACGCACAACTTGGATTTATTAATTTTTTCTTTTGTTAACCTACGACGACGAAGTGTTTATAATATTATCAGACGGTCGTCTTCAGTAATAAACCGTGACGTCGAATCAAATAATACTCATTATTCGAGCAAATTTTCGACATTTGATCAAAAATGGAAACTGTATGATGTACCTATAATATTGTTGTTGGATATAAGCGTCAGGAAAGTGTAAACAAAAAGGGAGATTTTTGTGTTAAAATTTTTTGGAGGGGGAATACATTTAAATTAAAAAGTTTTTTCCCGGAAAAACACTTTTTGTTAGTGATCATGCTTTAGTTTAATCATGTCGTATCTTATAAGTTGCGCATTTTGCATTGAAGTCCGATTCATACTTCTATAGCACGACACGACACAACAGACAATTCTAGCAAAGAATGTTTTATCGGTTTGTCGGAATAAATTTACTTGAAACATACATATTTTTTTACTATAAATTAATTCAAAATGTGTATTCGTTTTTTAAGTGATACGAATAAATAATTTTTGTGAAAATGTCAACTTTATAACTATCATCCCTTCTCGTGCCGAATAAAGAATTAAAATATAAAAAAGAGCTAATACTAGGAATGGGAGCGGCCACTGTTGTAGATGAGAAGTTGGGAAGGTAAGATACATAAGGTAATTTCATTTATATCTATAAGTAACGATAAACCATAGCTTGATGAAAGACGATTCCAAGCACAGTTCGGTAATACATAATTTGAAGTGCCGTATTTTTTTTTTTGTGATTTTCGTTTAAATTTGATTTCAAAACGCTAATTAAAAAAAAAAGTCGTCCGATGATTTTGAAATTTTATCACGTCTAGGTAAGTCTAATAAGTATTATTACCAAGTTTCAAGTCTCTAAGTGTATTTATAACCGAATTACAACAAAAATTAATATTCCTTAAAAGTTCAAAAGTGGCTCAAAAGGTTTAGGAATGATACCGTAAGAAAGGAAATCAAAAAGGCAACAAAAAAAGTGAATTGTTATTTTTCGATTAAATCATTATTTTTAGTAGAAAACGTCGTCCGTGTTTTTATAAAATAATGAAATCGTGAAATTGTGCGTTTTCTTTCGTTTTTTTTCCACTTCAGTGCTTTTATTTAAAAAATGGTGGCGTCGAAAATCAAAAAATGACCTGTTTAAAGTACTATCTAAAGACGAATTGAGCTTTCAGAAAAGTTATTACACGTAAAAATCAGAGCAAGTTTACTACGAAAAAACGTGTCGACAGACTAGAAGAAAGAAGAAAAAAAATTCGATAAGTGCACATCAAGTATGCGACAGCTGTTCTTGTAACTTTATAAATAATCCTTTTTGGCGAATATATATATATATTATATGTATTCCATTGTTAGTTCTTCAGTCCGGCCCTGGTTTTAATTTCTCTTCACTGGTCAGTAATCCGATCTGGTCTCAGAAAAAAATTACTTTCTTACTCACTGAGTAGATTAAAAATGTAATAAAAAAAAGATCTCTTGTCATTTTATTGGAGGAATATTTCTGATAGAAAACATTGTGCGTACAAATTTAAAATAATGAAATCGTACTTAGTAAATTTGTTCATTTTCTTTTTTCGGGTTTTTCCATTTTTATCATAAAAACCATTAGAAAAACCAAAAGACAATTTACTTCTTGAGCAACTATATCCAAAATACAATAAAAAGGTTTCTAAGCAATTCTTGGTTAAAGTAATATTTTTAGTAAAAAAACAGTTCACAAAAATCAAAAACAATGAAATCGGTAACGTCACAGCGCGCCGTATATATTTGCTGTTTTACTAATAGTTTTGTTTTTCCCAATCATTTTAAAAATCTCTTAGAAAATTAAAAAATAACCTCCCCAATGCAACAGCTAGATAAAAGTTGCTCACAAACACATGCATACAGTAAAAAAACAGTTGAGCCAATAGATCCTCCATTCGCTCAGAATTTACAAACGGGCCGACGATGACCTGCGCCCGCGTGACTCATCTGTCTCGCGGCAACAGCACTTTTATTCGATTTCGCGCCTCTCCCGGCCGTCGCCCACGCGACTACCAGTCCGCTAGCCTCAGAGCAGTCGAGTCGGATAACTATCTCATAATAATATATTGAACTGTTATTATTATAGTATTTTTGCGCACACATGGCACAAAAAACAAAAACAATAATACCTTTTTTCTTTTTGTCTCCGCCTTACTTTCACCGGTGAGCCCGCTTTTTACGATCGTCCGCCGCCGTCAAAACTCGCCCGTGCGTCGTCGTTACGCGATCGTTTCGCGTCGTCGTCCAGCACACTAATCACGGACGATTCGGTCCGATCGCCGGACGTTATCCAACCGTCGACACAGTGCCCATACGTTGTACTTACAGACGTACGGCAATTATTATAAATAATTATTTATAATAATATTATAAGCGTACCATCGTTGTCGAATAATACAACCCGTTCGTCACGACGACAACCAGTTTGTGCCGTTATAGTACGGCCGCATATTGTTGTTGTTGTTGTTGCGGTGTTGTTACCGCCGGTCGGTCTGAGAGGAATCGTGGCGTCCTCTCGTGGGTTCCTGACGCCGTCCGCCAGTCGTGAGGTTCAACAACACCGCGCGGCGTGATACGGGGCGACACAATTGTGTATACGTAAACGTGTCGTATGATAATATTGTTGTTATTGTTGGGAGCACTCGCGATGCCAGTCATTTAAATAATTACGAGCTCGCACGATTATTGGTGCGGTTGAAAATAAAAACTACTTAGGTACAAAGTGCGTGTTATACTGACGAACAACGATATAATTATATCTATTGTTGTATAGGTACCGTTTTATGTGACAAAACGGTAATCGTCTCACGCCGAGCTTGTAACATAATGATAGTGTTTATAATTTGATGGTTTAAAATCAGATCGTTATAAAACCAAAATGTATTTATGTCATGCAAACCGTTTAAAACGGTTTAAACATATCAGACGGTTTTGAAAACTAAAACGCTTACGTTATAGCCTTATAGGTATTGTAATTTATGGCGTTTATGTAATTAAAACGATTATTACTTATGGGTTTCTGTTTATTTATCATAGTTCACGTAATTTTATGTTTTTACTATTTTCAGGTAATTTAATTTAAATCGGTATTATAATGGACGTGTTATAATATTAGTAAAGTAAATGAATCAGATATTGATTCATTAAATAACTGTATTCAGTTTTACCATAACGATCTTGATAACTCGAAAACAGAAATATCTCATTTTCATCATTATATCGAAACAGTTTCTTCAGATATTGACAATTGTGGTGCTATAGCAAAACTTCTTTGTGAACGAAATCTTATTGATGTTTTTCCAAATGCATATATTACATTGAGATTATATCTGACAATACTGTTGACAAATTGTGAAGCAGAACGTTCATTTTAAAAGTTGACTCTAGTTAAAAATCGACTAAGATCTACACAGATCGAAGATAGGTGGAACGCATTAATAATTATGCCAATTGAAAATGATATATGTTATAAATTCTCATTTTATGACGTTTAAGATACTTATGCATTAAATTAATTTAAAATAAAATTGTTTAAATAATCATTTGTTTCTATTTTTTAATAAATTAACTATGTAATGTAAATTTTCTTTTTGAGGAAAAATATTTTTCTTATTTAACTAATAAATATCTATTAACATATTATTATAAAAATACTTTTTTTGTAAAATTAGAACCTCCAAAAATAAATTAGCCCAGGGTCGCTAATTTCATTAATCCGGCTCTGATTATTACCCATATTAAATAAACTGGTATAATTGATGAAATAGTTTTAAGAAGTTAAAAAAGGATTTATTTTCAAACCGACATGGTTAAATACAAATACTGTTTCAGAGCGACGATTTATTATATTATTAGATATGATACGATATGTTTGAACGAGTTGATTTTCGATAGACAGTTTGCTGCGTATTATTTTCAATGCTTAGTTACAATATTGCTAAAACATTTGGTCTACTTTACAATATTTTACCAATTCAACCAGTAATTGAGGACAATTAAATTCCATGTTGTTTGCCAAATTTAGCAACCTTTTTTTTTTTTTCGAATAACCTCCACCGAAATGGGGGGGAGAACTGCGTTAGTATTACTGCCTGGTTTTCGAAAAGTACGTTCAGCTGTCATATAATAATAATTTTTGTAAACTATATCCTATATCTGTCTATTGTTATTATTGTCTTATTGTCTTTTCGACGTAATGATATGTCTATATGTAGTATGTATTATATCTAAAGTTGAATTATTTTAAATTTTTTATAAATGGAATGGCATTAAGTATCATCGATATATTCAAAGAATACTTAATTGAAACTGTTCTCGCCCATTTTTAAAATTTTTTGTCTGTCGTATGTACGACATGCGATTTGTATTTTCGTCTACTAAAATATCAAAATTTGTTTTGTAGAAATTTCAACCACCACACCCACCTACGCCGTTGTGTGACCTGCAGACGACGACCAATCGGGCGCACCAACCATCATGTCGGCAGGATACCGATCAGGAAACATGCCTGGCGAAGTATTGTTCCAGTGGTTTTCGTGTTGTGTAAACCAACGTACCCAACAGGTAATTATAATAAAAGCATAATTACTGTGTATATACTATTATATTTTATGTGTATCATTGTTTTAGTGAATACCTATTGCATGCCCATTACCCATCTCTCAAAGCTCTGTAATCAGTTATACTAACCCCTCTTCATAACTTTTGAACTTTGCCAATTACTCCTTCTCCTTTCTCCTCTTTAGTGAGAGAATTTCCAAAAAAAAATAATTTTTTCTTACAAAATCGACTATAATTCAATCATTTTTTATTTATTTTCTTGTGGATAGTTTCCAAGAGACACACATTCAGTAATACTAATAATCAAAACTTTACTCTTCTAAATGTCCAATGAATATTGCTGTGTGTGTCCATTTGGACCACAGAATACCTCCTTAAAAAATACGCCGGTGTTGAAAAAAGATGCTTATCTAAAATCGTTATTGATGTAATATAATATTACCTAATGTACATTTAATCCACATATAGTAAAAATTAATAATATACTGTTGCTCTATCGTGCATTTCTTCACGTATACTTTATATGAGCACATTCGAATCACTGCCTCCCATATTAGTTAGTTATAATTTTCTGTACCAAAATATAAATTAATAATTGTGATATGGACGAAAATCTGATGAAGGAGAAAATTAAATAAAAAGCATAGTTAAAAAAAAAAAAAATTAAATAAATAAATATTAATATAGTATAATATCACTAAACTACTATATCCAACCAAATTGACTCCCCTACCATGTTGAAATTAATTTCTGTGTAACTCCACATCATACTCGTTTTTCTGTTCTCTTTCATATCCTTCATATACATATCTAACAGTTTCTTTCTAAATCATTGTTTTGAATCATTATACAATTATGTGACTATTGTGTAATTTACTGTACTTTTCAATTGTATTACGGAAAAACGGGAAAATGTACGAAAACGATGCTTTTATTATTTTTAATCTTGTTTTTGTTGTAATTCAGTTCAAAATGTTTGAAGGCTTAAAATTTGGATAAAAACGTTAAATTTGCCTTTTCTAGACGTGGTAAAATTGTTAAATTATTTATACAGACATTTTAATTTTGTGAGTTTTTAACGTAATTTTTATTCAGTAGATACTCTAGTATCTACCGAATATCTACAAATCTAGATAAAATTGTCAGACCAAACAGAAATGCTTGAGATTCATTATAAGTTGTATTTAGTGATCATTGATTAACAAGAAAAAGATGAATTTAATGTATTTTTTTTTATAAGAATTTTAATATCAAATTTTAATAAAAATCGCAAATATTACGTCTTTTTAAAAAAACATGTATCTTTAACCATTTACCATAACCAAACTCCGCTTTTCTTAAGCAATGATTAATCGTTGTATACACATATATATTAAATTTCCCTCTATATACTACCTTTCCTCACTTACAACAGTGGCCCATCCATCGTGCGAAGTAAGTCCGTCTTTTTTTGGTTTGACATTAAATGTAGTAGAGTGTGCTATAGAAATGTATGTATGTATGTCATGTTGCAACGAGCTCAAATATGAAATTTGAAAGTTTTTTTTTTTTGTAAATTGTATCAATGCGTAAAAAAAAGTAATTTCGTGGTCCATGTATCTGTTTAGTTGATCTATACTATCGGCGACGATATAATAGGTATACCTGCTCTCCCTCACGACCCGCTGACATTGAAATTTTACTTCCCTTTCTTGTGGAGGAACGAATCGAAAATAAATAAATACAAATTCCTCCGTTTGTGCCGACACCGTATACAGTAAGGAAATAAAAAAATTAAATTCCAAAAATGGCCGTTATAAATAAACTGGTTTTTCGGTGACTCGTTTTTACCAAATGGTTTCCGTAGATTATGGCATTGTAAACATTATTTTTTTGTACAATATTATAGAATATTATCTTGTTTTATTATTATTAGGACAGATATTTATGTGTCCTAAAAACCTTTAAAAAATACAGTACTAAAAGTATGCAATAAATGTACCAAAATATACACCCTTACAGTAAACTAAAAAAGGAAATTGGAAATTATAAATAAAATCAAATGGAAATCCTAAAATATTATTTTATAATATATTATAAGTAGGGCAGAGGTCTTGTAGCTCTAAAAAAGCACTAGATATGCAAGCACTTATGAACTTAATAATCCTATAATATGCACTAAAAATATGCTCATATATTTTTTTTAAGTAATTTATTTAAATATATATATATATGTATATCATTTTTTACAAAATTGTTAATAAAATTTAATTTCTTGAAAATTCTTCTTCTGATCTTAAAAAAATGTTCCGTGTTAATTGCTTATAAATAAAATTGATCTAATCGTTAACCCTCAAGACGCGTTTCAAAGAAAAACCATATTATATGATTATAAAAAACCATAATATCTATACAATAAAAATTTAATTAATTTTAATTTCAACAATATTTTGGTTGTATGTAAGATGAAATTAAAACGTCGACGGAAAAATATTGATTAAAAGATAAATTATTTGAAATATTCTTCTAAAAGTATAAAATGGAAGAAATATGACATAAAATAAAATATAACCCGAAATATGCATTTATATGCAAAATAAAATTTCATAACTAACTTTGTGAAACTTTGCTATTTTTGTTAATGTTTTAAAAAAATATGCAAATGCTACAAGTCTTCTGACCTAATTATAAGTAATACATTATTTAAAAAAACATATCCCTACAACATTTACAAACATATTAAAAAAATAAAATGTTTGAATTTTAATATTTATTATTGTATTGAGTTATTTGTGATTCTTTGTGGGTTGAGTTGAAAATATTTAAAAAAAATGTACACAATTCTCAAATATGCTCTAAAAATTTATAAAATCTTAAAATATACCTTAAAAATAAAAAACACCAAAATATGTAAAATATAATTTTGTATATAGATTATTATAAAATCGTTAGATCCTCGTGTTAGTACAAACTAGATATATTTTTGGACTGTGTATCTGATTAATTATTGTTATATCAGATGTATACCTTAGAGACAGATTAAAAGCTTTTTCCCAGATAACCTTTGAAAACATCGTATAATTTTCATCGCGTCAAGTGTAACTGAGACATACGTCGGAATTTTGCTTAATATTTTTTTTCGTCTACAAGATGTTATTATTATCAATTAAAAAAAAATAATTTTTAGGGCAAACGTCATGTGAGACGAGTACGCATCGATCGATCGATGATCGGAGCGCCTACAAATTTCCGGCACACCGGACACATTGGTTCTTCTGACGTCGAGATGGGATCGTCCAAATTGGATGCCATCCACGGGCAGATGCAGTCGAAAGGCGGTTACGAAGCCACCATTGAAGTAATAATTAATATTTATTACGATAATGATGATAATATACTTTTGAATCTAAGTGTAGCGAAGAAAGTATTTTTTTCATTGATTTTAGAATATATTCAATAGTTTTTGGCTTTCTTTTGTGGTTAGTAAAATTGATCTGATTTTTTATTTCATATATTAAAAGATATGGATTTTTCGACTGATTATTATTTACTGGTATTATTTGAAACAATTTTCGAAATTTCTCTAATGCTTTTGGTTAGACGAATGTTGCAATTTTTCGCACAATACATCAAAAGAGGCGGAATTTCTACTCATTGGTACTTTATTTGAAATTTTCAATAGATTACCTCTAGTTATTTATTTTTTTTTTCATTTCTTGATTCCCTTAACAACAATTTTAAACACATGACTTATACTGCTACTCTCAGAATTTTTAGTTAGTAGTATAATTTGCCTATATAAACAAAATATAGGATCTGCTACCTTCTCAACTACCCACCTACAACAATTACATATCTGTAAGCAGTAACAATTTTTTTTTTTTTCATGTTCTGATAGCCGTTACCCCTTTATTCTATCAGAGTTTTTTAGTAATCGTTGCCATTGTCAGTAATAGCAAAATTAATTTTTATAGGTTTCATTGGAACATCTAAAACATAAAACACTATGTGGTCTATTTCAAATATAATAATATTCTTTCAATATGATAATTTATAGCGTCCCTGTGTTTTGATCTATAGACCTTTTTTTTTTTTTTGCAGACCAATTAAATACTCTGTCAACTCAAAATTGAACTGATGTGATCGAAAAACTCGTCCACGTGTCCTTCAAAAACACATTTTCGAGACTGATGCTATCAAGTGTCTTGTTTTTACAGATGTCTGCTCTAGCCGGTATGTGAACAACTACGGTCATCGCATTTATAGACTAGTGTTTTATATTTTTCTCTATTATTATTGTTTAAGTCAACTATTATTTTTTACTTTATTTTTAAAATTGTATGTAACCCGTTAAGTTGTTTGTCGCGACGAGACATCTTGACCAAGCCTTGTGCTTACTAGTCTGGTTATATATGTATATGTATATAATATATATATATATATATATATTTTTTTTTTAAAATTATTACTTAATGTAAGTTTCGTAATTAGTCGTGATACGTTTTTTTTTTTAATTGTGTTCTTTCTCAGTCTGCACATATGTGATTATTTTTTTTTTAAGCCAATGTTCTATGTTGCCACTAGCTATTGTATAATAATAATGATAATAATTTAATACTACAAATCAAAATGATTATAATAATTTTGTACAGTTTTTAAATGGCATAGGTACATAAATTCATTTTGATAAATTGTAAGTTAAATATAATAGACTTACCTATATTTGTATGCCATACTCAATGGTATTAATTCTGATGTGTATGAGAGTTAATCTTACATTATATGATCAGATTAAATTGCACTCAAATGTTTTAAATGATGTTTTGTAAAACATGTTTAGCCTCGTCTGAAAAAAAAAAAATGTTCAAATACATTATAGTATAAATGTACCTACATACAAGAATTCACTATTTATCCGAATGTAATATTTATTATGGATTTGCTTCTTGTCCTTTGGATGTAGTTTTGATAGTTGACAAGAATTAATATACTGCTCCTGCATGCACGTTTAGTTAGAATACGACCTCCATTAATTTACCAATTGTTTCACTGATAGTGTTATGAGTACATTGGAAGTTTTGAACTATGTTATAAGTCGCTAAAAAAAAAGTGTAAATGTTAATAGTAGGTATTCAAATATTATAATTTATTTATATTTTATAGTTTTGTAAAGGTTATTACCTATTATTAATACACTTGTGTGATGTATTTTCCAGATAATTATTGTAATTTTTGTGTACTATTAATATATTACTGATTTTACTTTTTATACGATTTTATATTCTTAATTTTTATTTTTTATATATATGAATATATATACATAGAAATAATTAAAATTACGGCAGTGTATAGAGCCAAATAAAATTATGATAACACTATATAATTAAAAAATGTGTTGATTTGTTTTACAGTCTCTGAAATGGCTAAATATTGTTATAAAAGCAATGTTTGAGGCGTCCCTATATTTTTTTCTTTATCAAATATCAACAATAAATCCAAAATCCAGTGTCTAATACAAAATAATTATTTTACAATAGATTAAAATGTATAATTATTTATTTTTTATGTTTGATTGAGTAGTAGAACTCTGTTTTTGTCAACCTATTTGGTATTACATATACAAATATTCTTTTTAAAAACATAAAACATTTGAATACTATATTATATGCTCTGATGAGGATGTTAAACATGTAATTAAGGATTAAGTGTGGTTAGATTAATGGAGGGAAGTGTTAGGTGTTTTTATATGAAGAGGATTTCTATGAGACTTAAAGATAAGTTCTACAAGAATGTGGCAAGACCAGGTATATTGTATAGGTAGGAGTGTTAGACAAATAGATCAAATAGGTCAATAGACAAAAAAATAGAATAAAAAATGATTTTAATAGAGATGAGAATGCTTAAGTGGATGAGTTAAGGGACTAGAGAAGATAAAAAATAAGTATACAAGAGATAACTTAAATACAGCTTTTATAGTGGAACAAATGAGAGAAAAGACTGAGATGGTTAGAGCATTTCATGAGAAAGATGAATTAGAAGCAGTAAGAATTATAATTAAAATAAACGTAGGAGGAAGGAGGGCGAGAGAAATATCAAAATAGAGATGGTTGGATGTAATTGAGAATAATATAAAGATGGTGGGTGTATGCTAGAATTATGTAAAGGATCAGGTCAAGTAGAAGTTTATGACGAGGGTTACCGAACCCAAATAGTTGGGATGAAGGAGAAGAAGACTACTACATCAAATCAAAACTATACTACTTGCAAAAAATTTAAAATATTAGGATAGAAATGATTGGAGTAAAATTTACAAGTTGGTATTCTCAAAAGGTACTTTCTAGACACTAAAACAATAAATATATATATATACTAAAAGTTGCATCCCCTCACTTCATTTGAAAGTTCTGTGGGGCTGTTTAAAGTAAAAAAAAAAATATCTCTTTCCTGTAATAACATACCGAAATTTCTATTGAAATTTGACATAAATTTTATCACTTTAATCTGCCTACAGAACCACTTTTATTACTAAGTTTGACTTATTTGGTCTCAAAGTAGCGGGGGCCGAGGATAAGATAAATATTATATTGTATTAGAAAATGTAGTTCAGTATACAACATAACATTCTTATTACATATTCATTATTTTCAGAGATAATTCTATACAAATATTTTAAAATTTGATTTTGTTGTAATTCAGAATGAATTGTAAAATATGTTTATTTAAACATACTATAATGATATAATTATGTAAAAATAATTTAAAACGTAGGAGATGCGCGAAAAACACGTTATAAATTCACAATTATTGCAATTCAATATAAAACAAATATATAGTATTTAGCTTTGATGATTTGGTCATCTAACTTCTGGATCTTTTTAACGCTGGGTTGGGACTTACAGAAATACTCTATGGGTTTGCATTCTGGTAATCGTTACAGCACCTACCAGCGATCGGAAATTCGTAATTAAGGTTTACGCATATCAACGAACAATATTATAGAAATAACACTCGAACAACTTATCGATTAATGTTTACCTGTTATTAGCTACTTATTAGCGATATCTATCAGCTACGTAGTCAATTATTAAAATAATCCGACAGTTTCTGTTTTGTGATACATTTGTACAATTTTAGTTATACCCGATAATCGCTATCGTAAAAATGGTTTGACAGTAGTTGTACTGTATGACAGTATCAACACCATCCCTTTCGTCACAACCAATTCGCCGCCAACTGTTTTTTCACCAACCTTTTCAACAATGGACTAAATCACCATCGAACGTTTCTACTTACTTAATGAATCTATTTATGTCAGAGACAGGCGTGTACACAAAAAAATATTTTAAATTATGGGCCGAGTGGTATTCGCATGCGTCAAACAAATACTTTTTCTGGTGTTTTTTATACCTCCAGAATATATTTGACATTCTATCATCTTCTATCTATCCAACATTTTCTCACTACACGATGGAACTACAAGTATATTTTTTTTTTGTTAGAATCTATAGTTCTAAAAGATTATTCACGACTCTTTAAAACTGGAATTGATTCAAATTGATGCGAGAAAAAAAATCCTTGCAATATATTAGATTACCAGTTTTTTTCTCAAAAACCATTGAAAGGTGGATAAGGACTTTCTTTGTTTTTGTTGCATTGTTTTTATTATTATTTATTTTAATAATAAACAACATTTTTTGACACCAGTTTTTTTTGTTAAATTTTTTATCCGTAACCTTTTTAGTTCATATCATGATAACACAATAGGTAGGTACATGTACATTGTACAAATGTATTTGAAAGTGAATTTAAATTTTATTTAGTATTACATTTTTATTTTATCATTATTAATATAACACTAAGAGCAACATAGCAACAAAAACACAAGGATAAATGGATGGTTTCACTTACACAAAAGACTCCAGACACAGAATGAAAGCACTACAGATGGTGACAGTGGTTTCGTTCACTGCAGAACTCAGAAGAACTGCCGAGTGGTTACGTGTGATTTATGGTATGTAATTTAAAATAATTCTCAGTCAAGTATATTTTATAAAAAAAAGAATTACAATAAAATATATAATATAGTAAGTTACAATAGCGTACCAAAGTATTTTTGAGAAAATTTCCTCAAGACCGAAATGGACGGGTGGCTGATCAATCATGTTGAATGTTGATTGAGATTGACTAGTTCATAGATCAGAGATCCCTTTAGTTTTGTTTTATTATACTATTAATATACCTACGTATAAACATGGTTGCCTAAATAATGTAGTCAATATATAGCTAAATCAAGTTTTTACAGTAATTATTTGTAGGAAAACCATAAAAATCCATTTTTTGATTAGGTGGACCCTATTTTTTTGTTTTGCCTTAAGTATGAAAAATGTTCAGCACGCCACTAACAAATGAACATAATTTTATAAATGTACCTTGATGGCGTTAAGATAGAAATTGTACTAGTTAGCGTTAACGTAGAATACGTTGGGTCCACCTATAACGTCCGTCGTTTCTAATCCTGTACATGGCTAAATGTATAGGTATGATCATAACTTTGTGATACACAGGTGCAATGGCCGCCACTGACAGTGATTCCCGTTTTATTTCAATCTAACTGGTAATAAATATCACTGCCAGCTGAGTTTTCTCTCCATGAAAAGCTATGGAATAAACAGTTGTGATCCTACTTATATAATATTTAGCTATGGTCCCGTATAAATTATAATATCTTAGTCCGTGGTTATTACTACTTAATAATTAAATATAAATTATATTTATAAAATAATTAGTATAAATATGAAAAATCGTTTCGAACTATTGTTTATTTCTCCTAACGCACGCAAAAAAATGGATATTCAAACTCAATTTTAAATAGGAAACGTAGACAGCGGCTGATAAATTCTATTTTTATTTCGTATTTTGTATCATCAATCACTATAATCATTAATTATAAGTACTAGTATTAATAATCAATAATATATTACATTTCTCATCGTTCGCAAATTATATTATACTGTATGTTAACTTGGCTTATCACCGATTCTATTATATTTTTCTATCTCCTTTGATATTTTTCATAACTTTCAAGTACCTTTGTATCCATAATTTCCTTCGTTACTTATTTATATTATTTAACAAAATATAGGTAATAATCTGGAGGTATAAGTTAATATACATTATAATTTATAGTTATTAAAAACCGCATTTAAGTGCATCAAACTAATAAAAAACGTGCAATTAAATTATCAAAAATCCAGTCAATAAATATCATAATATTAGTAGGTATTGTATTGTATTGTAATATTATATTTTTCGTATCTAATTATTGTATTGTTATCATTAAAACAATAATTATTAAAAAACAAATTGTATATCTATTTGATACGATTAAAACGATTATTTGTTCATACCTATTTTTAATGTATTATGGGTGGTTTTGTAGGTAATTATGGACGACGATGCAATATTAACATTTGTGATGTCTTATTTACCCGAGAAATGGGATAAAACTACTGAGTACACGAGAAGTTGGAATTTAATTCCGCTGTCAACACAAAGTGTTGACTATCAAATAGTTGAATCTTATTTTTATGGAGCTCACATAAGTTTAATACAAAGGGTTCAAAATCCATTTCAATTTGGGCGTTATATGATAAGACGTGAAATGACCCAAACAACATATGAAGTAAGTATGAAGATTTTATAACAATATTTATTACAAGACTGTGTTTAGGATAGATACCTGCTATGTAGCTGTATAAAATAGAGCAAATGTTAGAAGTAACAACATTTCTTTATAGAAGTTACTATGTATTTTATTATTTTCCATAAAAAATCAGATAATAGAGTAATATGTTCAAAAGAAAATGCTATAGAGAAACTTAGCTCCCTAGACCTTATCTAACCCTAGGAGGGCTCCAAATCAAATAGGTAAATACTGAGTATACATAATAAATATTATGAGGTATTAAGCCCTCAAATATTTAGGAGTTTTGCACCTATGCAACTATATATAACTTAAACATAGCTCTGTAACCTTTATTATTAATTTATTGTGAATTGTATGCGATTATTTGTTTAAGGATATTGTTTTTCATGTTGTACATCGAGATGACCTAGAAACAGCATTGAAGTTCAATTGTGACTATCGAAGGTATCAAAGAAGACACGAGGGCTTGTATGAAGACCATAAACATCCAAAGTTTTATCATTCATTTAAAGATCTGATAAACGTTAACAATCATTCCATGAGTGATATAAGAGTTTTAGTTTTAAAAATTTTAACTAATGAACCAAAAACACAATGTGATTACTATATTGAATATGTTGTCACCTTTTGAAATAATAATTTATTTTGATTATTCATTATAATATAACTAATTATTTATATAAGTTTACAGTTTTCATATTTTTAAAAATTATAAATAATAAATCTAGGTAACTAAAAGAAGAAATCTATAATTGTATTTATTAGTATTCTATTTTATGGGCTTATGTTGAAAAATTCCTAGCTTGATTCATCATTGAGTTTGTAATAATTACGTGCCTTATATGCATTTTCAAAATCGCTAATGTCATCTATAATAGGTAGAAACAAAAACCATGGTCTCGTTCTTGAACCGAAATTTAATCAAACGACCCACAGTCAGACAGTGCAATAAATGAAGAAAAGAAAAGAAAAGCATCTATGAATCGTGTATCCTGTGGTTTCAACATCAATATGGCATCGCTAATTGGGAAGTGTGAACTTTGATTTAGAGCTTTAAATTTCAATAATGCTCGGCAAAATGTGTATTATAATATATTCTGTAAATAAATCTAGTAGTCGCTGGTAAATATTTCAGTTTTATTTTTATTTAAATAACATATTTATTTTATGCTCAACATTTAGATATAGTAGACAAAATAGGTAATACTATTATTAAAATATAATATTTACAATATATAAAAAAAAAATGACAAAATTTATTTACTGGTAATATTTTGGTGTGCTATAATAATTGTTGTATGGTTGCTTATATGGTTCTTCGGTGGCTTTAGGTTTTGGAGCAAATGGATTTTTTGTCGGGTCTGTGTTTAGGCTAAATATTATAAATAAAATAAGCATTACATGGAATGTTTCAATATTATATTGTCCATATAGGGGTTAACATTATAAGGTTACAACCCAGGGATATTACAAATGGAAATCCATTAAAACTTTGATATTGTATCAAATACATTATTATTACAATTATTGGAGGGAAAAATTACAACTTATATTAATATATTAATTATAATAATAACAACTCTCCAAAAGATGTAGACAAATTTAAAATTCAGTTTTAAACAGATTTTTTATAGTTATAGCTATAGAAAAAGAGCTAGTTTATTGAATTCGCTATTCTAGAATTATTTTCATTATATTCATTGTTAAATAATACCATTATCGTCGGAGAAAATAAAGGATGAAATATATGCCATAAAGTTTATAGGACATGGGAGTAAAAAGTTGTCGAGAGCTGAAGGAACTAAGTTATCATAGAGAACTGCATTCAATCAATAAAAACATTAAAGACCAAGAAAAATAATGTATGGAACTAAATTGTACTTATTTCTTGTAAAAAAGGCTTGGCCGTGTATAAATGATAATAATAATGTAGGTATTTAGATTTTGGTTTTAATTAAATAAGGGTTTAGTTTTTTAAAACACAATCGTGTTAAGCCAATAAAGTTATACGGTTCAAATTTTGGGAATTTGGAAATTAAGAAAAAAGTAAATTACATAACACTTACTCGTAATAATATGTTGCTTTACTACAATCTACATTGTACCACCAATCGCACGTGAATTCCTTCTGGTTGAACAGAGTACCATTTGTGCACAAGAAAGATGCTCCCTGGTGTCCCTCGCGACCGTCGTGACAAATATGGTAAGCCTGAAAATACAGTAATTCATAATATTAAAACAACAATGCTGGCTGTAGCTTAATTAACATAGGTACAAAATACAAATATAATATATTACAACATTATGTTTTTGTAGGGAAACTAAAGGTATTATCTTTGGTTAAATACTAAATATAGGTACCTATGTGGTTTGATACGTATGATATGATTATGACCTTGAATAATTATATTATTCTTTAACATTTTTTATACTGGTATTTGAATCTGAATTATTTTTCCTTTAGGTGCTAAATTAATTTTAATTCATCACCTCACAACAAATAATCTAGCTGTATGCACGATAGTTATTATAATATTATTCTATACATTTTATTAAACATTAATTTTCGTTACACAGCAAAATGAAAAAAATTCATGGCACACAAAATTTGAAATATTTAATATAATGTGGGAAATATATTATTTTGTTTAATTGTTGCATTCGGAAAAAGATTCTGAATAAGAAAAATATTTGTCACTACAAGCTTATAGTTATTCGCAATATAATGTATTTATTTTTTATGACAAAAAGACAAGTATACCATTTAATTTTAACAATTACTCGCTCAATCATTGATACTTATGAGTTATGGTTAATAAACAATTAATCATTTAGGTTATTACTAAGTACCTATCTGTGAGATATTTACCTAGTATCTATATTATATTAAACAGAAATGTTTAGTTTTAGTATTTGGTAATGTAGTTTTATGATGCTAATATATAAAATAATATATTTCGGATTTTAAACATAAATTAAGCAGGTAGAGGTACCTATTAAAAAAAATCCAGTGTATTGTATGGTTCTTATTTTCGTAATAAAGCAGTGTGCAGTGTGCAGCTGTAAATTCAGTAGACTTTCTCTGTTATAACCTATTACGATATGAGCACCGCATAGTAGGTACATGCATAATATTATATATATATATTTTTTAAGTACTGTTTGAGGGAGGCTCTCGATATTATAGGAACATAATATTATATTATTAATACAATTATTGTGTATTACTTACGTCACTGGCAATATTATCCAGCACGTTTTTCATCATTATTATTGGTTAATTTCAATTTCAATGTACTTATATACTCGCAAACTTCATAAAAAAAACATTCGTGTTTCCAACTATTACTAACCGATAATATCATGACTATATATATCATTATATTATTATTAACGATGATGATTTTCAACATAAATAAAATCGGTCATTATATATAATACTATTATAATATATACGGTGGGGTCTCGCGATTTTGTTCAGACTTTTATTTTTCTGATGACTACACAAATAATATTATCCTCCTCCCTCCCATTTTTTGTTAGGTTAATAGAAAATTAAATTACAAATGTCGAAATGACTCCAAATTGATCATTGTGTACACTAATTTACCTTCTATTTTTATCAGTAGGTACCTTACCTGCAGGTACCAATAACCTACCTATTACCTAATTATAATAATATTAAATTTTTTATTTAAAGATTTCACTATTAGTATACGTACCTACTTTAAAGATGTTTACTACGTAACGTACGATACTGCTAATGGTTGTGCTACTATTGGAGGTGAGAATTAGACAATGAAGGATTCATACATGTATAATATTTATTTATGTACTAAACGATAAATCATTGAAAACAAATAAAATTATGACCGAAGTCGGTTAAAAACGTTTTGAAATGCCGTAATTTTTATGATTTAAATTAAAAATTAAACTTTAAATGCTTATAAAAAGGAACTACTATACTTATACATTACGTTCAAACTTTTATTTTATCACTAAGTACAACTAATGATGATGAACGATTATGTATAATGTATAATGTATAATTAACGAAACATTTCTGCTTGACCAAAATAAATGTATCCACAAAAAAATCAAAAAAAGGCGATAATGTCAAATGCCGATAGATATAAGTAGCTCAAATCGTTAGAATGTTTTACCACGGAAAAAAAAGGGCTAATATACGTTAAATAACATTACAAATTCCATAGTATCTAAATATGTTATACTGTATACATTTTATTTACACAGTTTTCTATCAGTTTTATCCATCTCCCGGTCGTGACGTATGCCTATTTAAGCTATGGATTCATTAGTTAAAGATTGTTTAGAAGACCTTCAAAAAAAGATGATTCGATTATTTGTAAAACGACCTCCAATTTTTTAGAGTCGATGATCTAAGACAAGTGGCTGAAAATCGTGAAGAATAGAAAGGGCGCTGATGTGTGTAACACGAATAAGTCTCAATGGCATCTAAAAAACAAAACAAGAAGAAATATCTAGTTATATGAGGTAACAGTTATGTTATAGGTCAGGTGCTATTTGAAAATCATAAAAAATGTACTAATATAATATTTATTTATACAGCAGTTATTATAGTTTTGAAATAGTGTAGGTAGATAAATAATGATTTTGAAGCGATAGGTACCTATTAAATTTATTTAAATGTTCCTATATTTCTGTATTACATCAAAATCGATGTTTTAACTTGAACAGATCATATTTTTCAAAGAATAAATTTATTTATTTTCCGATAGGAATATTGTATAACTAGTCCGTTAAATTACATTTTCATTCCAAGGTTCTTAAACTCGATCTCATAATATTAATAATAATATGGTAACAAATTTGTTTGAATAGCGACGCGATGGTAATGTCATTTGTAATAAATGAGTTCATTAGCGTTACTTTTTAAATTATAATAAGTAGGTATTACCCAATAAATGTATTATTAATATTATTTTATTGAATATAAATGTTGTATTAACATATAATATGATTCCTATATAGTGTTATACAATCAGTAAGTACCAGTTACAGGTATGTATATATAAATAATAGATTATGTATCTACCTATAGAATATAAAGTGAATCTCGTGCGTCATTGTGGTGACGGTATAAAAAAAAAAGCGTTTTAAATAATTTTGCCGAATGAAGCAGTAAACACTAATCAAAGTCATCTCAACGAATTACATTGCGATCATTATACTAAACGTTTTACTCAATAATTTTTAACTTTATTCATATTAATATTATGGGCGTATTTTAGCGAGTTGATTTTCGGTAAATAGTTTACTGTATTTTTTTTCTGTTATTTGTTACATGGTGGCTATATCATCAAAACATTTTGTTTGCAGTAGAGTACTTTACCCACTGGCGTACGCAGGGAGGGTTAGGTTAGGGGTTATATCCCCCCCCCATTGGTTTAAAAATACAAACAAATATTTAAGTAAAATAAAATCGAAATGCATATATTTCAGCCAAGTTACGAAGAAGAGCTCGATAAATTGATTAAAAAATGGATTTATTTTAGGATCCAGCTTTAAATTACCAATTACCATAGTCGAGTCGGTTAGAGAACAAAATTTTACGATTCATGGTAAAGCTAGATAAATTAACTAATTTCTTAACTAGTTAAAATTTTCCTAAAAGTAATTACATAGTTCTAATGAACAATTGCCATACGAAATTCGTGTGGGTATCTCATATAGGTCACATTATGCCCATATTGTTATATGCTAATAAGATGAACGGAAAAATACGTTTTTGATTTTAAAATTGTTTTATTTTTCGAAGAAAATTAGGTCTACTAGACCTGCCCACTGGCTACGCCACTAATTGTGATCTTAGCATAATAAAAATGGGTAAATTGTCGTATAACTAAGATAAATGATAATAAAATAATTTATAGTTTATAGTTTATTCTTTATAATATATTGTTTACCTGACATCCAGTCTCCACGTTGGCGTACATGCCTGGCGCGTACGGTACGTCTTTGCAATTGAAACTCGTTTCCGGAACCACGTGATAAATCGGGTAATCTACACCCGGTGTGCCAGGTATTTTGTTGAGATTTTGACGACTCTCGTATTTGTGATCGTTTTGTGCGTATTCGTCCGAGTAACCACTGTAAACTTGTCTCTGTTCAAAAACAATAATATAATCCGCAAGGTTAAATTTACATACTTAACATAATATTCACGTGTTGTAATTATGTAGTAATCTAGTATGTACCTAACTATAGGCATAGATTTATATAGGTAATACCTAGGTTTAATTTCAGTATTTTATTTCGTTGATCGAACCCTCGAAAAAACATAATATCATTCATCTGGGGAAGTCCGAACCTCGATTTTTAAAATCAAAACTAGAACAATGTGTATATTTATTTTGAAGTAAGAAATTATGAGTTTACAGTATGAGTAGGTTATTAAAAAGAATTTTGTCCCTTCGAAATTTACGACGGCACAGTAATTTTTAAATAAGCATTAAGAAGAAAAAAGAAAGAACAAAGAAAATTACATTTTTAGGTTATTTTCTTTTTAAAATTTGTACTTATTGCCTTTACATTTTAGTACTATAACCTCACAATAATACGGGAAAACAAAAACAAAATATTTTAATACCTATATGTTTAAATTGCATAAAGAAACAACAGATTAAATGCATCGAATTATTTAATAATACGTCAGGAAAAAGTTAGACCCAACTTTACGACGGAAATATAAATATATATTATTATAGAAAAGAACAGGAATCTTAAAGAAAATTTATTAACTTTATTTTTTAAAGGAAAAAAAATTCAAATGTTTATAGCAGATTTCTTTAATTGTATATAAGTTATCAAAAAAAAAAAAGACACGTTGATTAATGACAAACAGATAGATACTTATGTAGAAAAACAGCTGATACTGATGATGGGTGTGCCCCGAAAAGTTGGAAAGGTAGGATTGACAAACTAAACATGTTTTAAATGCCATAATTTTTACAATTTTCATTAAAATTTAAACTTAAAATGTTCGCAAGTACCAAGTATAAATTACGTAAAAAACTAGCAAATTAAAATATCTATAAATAGCTCCAAAATGGTTCAAATGTTTTGAAAATTTAACCACGTTTTGAAAAGGCAAATATAAGTTTTCTGTCTAAATGTCAAGTCTCTACGAATATTTAGAAATAAACTGCAATAAGAAAACAAAATTGAAAACAATAAAAGCAATATTTTCGGAAGTTTTTTCCAATTATTAAGAAAAATGCTTGGGAAATAAAAGAAATTATGTCATTAAAGTAAACGCACCCAATAGGTACGCTATATATTGATTTTCGTAAAACGGTAGAATCTGTTATAAGAAATGATTTAAAGTCATAATATTATTCTAAATCTAAAATATGCATTTATTTATTCTCAAAATCCAAAAAAATGAATTTATATAGCATTTGTTTTTGGATTTCTGAATTTCACAAAATCGTCAAAAATGGAATTATATACAAATGAAAATGGTATCATTTCGTTCAGTAAATGGCACCCGATACGTGAATCAAATTAGTATATAGATTATAGGTTAACATTAAATACAAAATAAATTATGAAATAAATAAATATCATAATATTATATTCGATCCCTGTATTATATATTATATTTGCATATACTTTTTTTTATCTCGTATGAAAAAAACGATAGTATCACAAAATCAATCAAAAAAAGGCCGTAATATTTAATAATATATTTCGTTCATTTTCCGTTATCCCCATGTTTTTTCCTGGTTTTCCATTTATTCTGAAAATAACTGTGAAAATCAGAAAAAAACTTCTTTAAAATACTACTCCAGTCAAATTTCCTTTCAGAAAAAGTACTATAATTGAAAATCAGAGAAAAATGTTTGGTCGAAAAGTTGTTCACAAAAAAAAACATTATTGTAAAACCAGTACATTCCTCGCTCCGCTCAGAATCTAAAACGAATTAAAAATAATATAATCATTAGTATTATTAGCTTTCCATTTTTGCTAAGTATTTTTCCAGTATTCCTCAGTTATTAAGAAAACTACAAGAAAAATCAAAAAAGGACTTTCACTCACCCCTAATCAGATAATATCTTCTTTCAGAAATGATACTATTCTTTAAATTCAGCGGAAGATTTCTCGTAGGAAACGAAAAGATTGAAATAAAGAAATCATTAACTTCGTAAATTGTTTAGTTTTTACTGGTTTTGCCCAATTATTATGAAACTAAAAAAAAAACTCAATGCACCAAATAAATCTGAAATGCAACAAAGACAGTTTTTTGCAATAATTTTTGATTGGAGCAAGATTTTTGATAAACAAAGTTGTTAGCAGCCATATAAAATTAAAAACCAAACAATCGCACACATATTATAGTAGAACTAATACATTTTATCCCTGCGTTGAAAATCGAAAATCCTTGTCAAATTTCTGGTAGATATCATCACTCGCCACCAAATGAAATAACAAATCATAGGTAACTATAATATTTATGCATTTATACTAAAATTATTTAAATCACGTAAAATTTCACAAAAATTGTGTTAAGAAGATCTGAAAGTATTAGGAATCATATAAGATCGGTCTATATGGATTATTTACCTGTTTCTGAGCTGCGTCGGAAGTGCACACAACGGTCAAGACTGCGACGACGAACGTTTTGAAAAACATGTTGTTTTTATGTTTTTTCTTGGTATAAAATTATATTTGTAGACAGATATTATATTATATTATGTTGGTCTTGTTGGAAAGCAAGTACTATGAACACGGTATTGTGCATGTGTTGTCGAAAGCCGGCAAGACGCGACTGTAGTGGTCGGTCAGTTGAGTTCGGCGAGCCGTGAAACGGGTTTCCCACATCTGCCGCTCTGACACGGGAAAGGTCTTGCAACATGTGTTGCGTACCCATGGAAATATTATTATTTAAGTGTCAGCCGCCCTGGAAAGGTGATATGGCCATGTACAGTTTTTTTTCTCAAAGTAATTATTATTATAACCTACTATTTATTATATAAACCTACATTACATAAATATGTGTGTGTGTGTGTGTGTGTGCGTATGTTTTACGTTTGTCCGGGTCGGATGTCGTGCGATATGTGCCTATGTGGCTATGTACCTAATGACGAAATGAATACGGTTTTAGAGAAGTGGTTTTGCTCCTCGATTTGTTTTCAAAGATTTATTATGGGAGGGTGGGAAGGAGCTCTGAACAGTGGTTTTCAACTTGGACATCACGACCCACAAAGGAGTCGCTAAAAATTATAAGTATCATGTAAAGTATATAGTATATACTATATATATATACCGTAATATTTTAGTTCTATTAAAAACATTTTTTTGAGGGGTCGTCTTACACAAAAAAAAAAATTAGAAGTTTGCGTTTCTTAAAAGGTTTAAAACCACTGCTCTAGAAAACCTATTAATATTTAGTACATTTAGAATTCTAGACCCTATATGTAATCTTGAGTCTAGAGGTATGACGACATTTTAATTTTATATTATAGCTGTATGTATATCTATGTTTCTAATATAAGTCAGAAGAGCTTAAGTGGATTTAATTGAAATTTTTTAAAATAATTGTTTTGTCTATATCGCATAACTGCATAAGTATATGTATTTTCAAAATTAGTGTATGTAGTCGCGTATTAGTGTATATACAAGTGTATATGTATTTCAACATTTGGTTGCATTGAAAATTATACAAAATTGACTTGAACACTAAGGGTCTATAGATATAACAATGTCGTATGAATGAATGAACTATATGCGGTACGATATGATATGTACGGTTTTTTTTCATGCATTTCTCATGTTTACTGCTTCGGCTGTGACACAATTTTCGTGAAAATCCGTACACACTACCTATTTTATATAGTAATTTACTAGTATTACTATAGACTAGTGTTAGCTATTCAATGAATATAAAAAGCAAAAAGTGAGAAAAAGTCCATTCTTCAAACTGGATGACATATTATACTTCTCACTGTGGGTAGTCAACTGTCATAAATAGGATAAGTCGATAAGTACAAGTTAAAAATTTGGTTTCTATAAAACACTGAAACTCTATATAAAAACCTACTGAAAACAATGATTAATCATAGCAAACGTAAACAATTTTGAGAAGAGCTCATTGTTAAACAGTTTGGTTAGACAACTACACTGTATTTTAAGTTCGATTTGTATTAAAAAAAGAAATTTTCAAATTACAGTAGGAGAACTGAGTTCGTTTTTCCCTGTAGTATAAGCAATAACCATGGATACTCAGAAATAAAAAGTCTCAAATTTCAATGGGAGAACTGAGGGTTTCCATAACTAGTTACAATTAAATCAAATATAGAAACTATAAACCCTAAAAGATTTTTTTCTTTTTTGCTTAGTTAAACATAGATAGATAATATTTTGGGATTTTTATTTATTATACTGTATACTAATTTTAAATATACGAACCTTGTGTTTACAATGGTCCTTGAAAACGAGGACATTTATTTATTACAACATCGCGGATCATATTTGAATTCAGTAAAAAATACAATAAATATACATTATACATATTATTTTCTCAAAAATCAATTTGATAATTTTTAACGTTTTCCTCGTATGCTGATATGGTGAATTACCAGCTATACACTTCCTATCATGTGAATAGAAGCATGAAATTACAAGGCAAACGGGTTGTTTGTGAAGATCTACAATAAAAATTGTTAACTTTTTAACTGTTGCGAAATATATATTCTAGTAAAATACACACAATAATATTACATTACAATGATTTTAAATTACAGATCTCAAAAAATAGATATCAACTCTTATAAATAAATGAAACAGAAGGCATCCGACAGGAAAACATAGCTATCTCAACAAGAATTTGCCTTTAGAAATTTATGATGAATTATGTATTTGATTAGAATTTTTTTGTCCAGTATCTATGTGGAAGAGGCGAAAAATAAAAAAGACAGACATGTTTCGCACGTGGGTGAGAAAAATCCTGAGAAAATGAAAAAATGACCTTCTTAAAGTACTACCCCAGTCAGATTTCCTTCACTGAGTTACACTTGTAAATCGGAGCAAAATTTCTGGTAGAAAAGTTGTTCACAGATAAAAATTTAAAATAGAGTTGATACCGGGGATGGGTGCAGTCCCTGTTGTAGGTAGGAAGTTGGGAAGGTAGGATACATAAGGTTATTTCATTTATATCTATAAGCAACGATAAATCATTGCTTGACGAAAAACGATTCCAAACGCAGTTCGGTAATACATAATTTGAAGTGTTATAATTTTTTTGTGATTTTCGTTTAAATATGATTTCAAAACGCTTATTAAAAAAAAATTCAACAAAAATATGGTCTCTTGTCGTTTATCAATTGAAGCCATATTTGTGCTAGAACACGTGTTAGGTATTTATTTAAAATAACGAAATCGTGAAAAAATCATATTATTTTTCCCGGATAATCGTTTTTATTTTAAATACCGTTTCGAAAATGACCTATGTATTTACCAAGTAGATAAAATTTATTTTCAGAAAAGGTATTACACTTATACATCGGAGCAAGTTTTCTAGAATAAAAGTGGAAAATTTCAAATAGTTGAAAAAGCAGATCCAAACCAGCTTCAGAAATTTTCTAAAGTTTAGAAGACCGGATACGAATTTTTGAAAATCCATTTGTCATAGAAATAGAAACTACCAACAGAGCTTCAACTTGAAGTTATCGAGCTCACGTAAAATAAACATTTTAAAAACTTTTTCAAGGAAACTACACTCCAACAAACTGTATGTCATGTTGCCTGAAAAATCTTTTCCAAATCTGAATAAATGTGCTCATAAAATGATTGCAATATTTAGCCATATACTCCACCTACTTTTGTTAACAGACGTTTTCAAAAATGGAATATATCAAATCCATTTATAGGGTCAACTTAAATGACGAACATTTTCAAGTGACGCTGTTGATTGGAACAACAAAGTTTAATCCAAACTATCGAGAAGTTTTAAAAAACAAGCAATTCCAAATTTCTCATTAAGTAACTTGATCGTATTACAAATCACAGTATAACAAATTTTGAATTAAAAATATATATATATATAAATTATCTATTTTTTATTTGTATCTATTCTTAAATTTTATTACCCCTCTATTATCTCTCAAAATGTTGGCCCGTGATGCCAAAGCGTACCTTGGATTTGGCCCACCGTAAAAAAGGTTGGATACCCCTGACCTAAAATATCAAATAAACATAAAAATATTTTGTCTAACTCAATATATTTTTATGATTTTGAAGTCATATGTTGTCCAAACACTCTAAAATTTAAAAGCATCCCTGAACCCATGCCTACATATATACTATAATAACGTGATTTCAACAGACAATCCCTTTTTTAATATTTTACATTATTTTAGTACATTGTTTGCCGTTTATGCATTTGTAATACCTATCTGTTTTAATATGAAAATCTAACAATCTTTTGAATTTATACAAGTACCTATATCGTCTAGTTGTTTTTGTGTTAAACAGGCCATTATTGCCTTCTTCACGCTTCTACCGAGCTTCTCCATTCATTACAATTTTCGCCATATCTATCATCGTTACAAACCCCATCGTCTACATCTCTGACGTATTTAACGATTCTAACCATCTATCGTTTACGTCTTACGAGACATATTAAGGCACGGTTCTTAATTGAAGATCATAGCGCATAAATCGGATATTTCTATTTTTTTAAATTATTTAGGAAGAACAAAAAATACTTTCAATATATTTTCTTGTTACTCCAAATGAGAAACTATAGACACATCAATTTCTGTAATATTTTTTAACTTAACGTACAGATTTTTCTGATAGTTACATCAATCGACATGCAATATTTGTCTTCATAAATTACGTTCAAAAAATGAATTTGGCCAAAATACGGAGATATCCGGTTGTTCTGTAGTACATTTCGAATAAAGTTTCCGTCAGTTCTCCAAACATGATCTGCTCACTTCCAATCACTTTGTTTTAAGGTATTTTCCAATGTTTGGTTTATAGTCCAATTGTATTATACAAATATTATGATTTAGCAGAGGGCTTTTTATTTTGTATGGAAAATATTTACGCTAATAGATTTAATTTGTATTATTTCGTCATATCCAAGGCGCGCTTCTTTTGCCATAATAATTCTTTAATTCTCCCCTCCCTTTGAAAAATCCCGAAAACACCGCTATAGTATAAATAATAGTATAATACCTAATATAAATATGTTAAACAATTAACGTACGTATCGTTTATTATGCGTGTATAGTTCTGTGACTATATTATGTTTATTTGCTAACTACAAAATATAATAGGTAATAATAATATTTTGTAGCGTAAAATCGTTACACCATGTTTAAAATATAATAATACGGGCGTTATATTACGATTCGTTATACTGCAAAATGAAATTATATTATCCGTTTATCGCAGTTTCATCACAATAATGGACATAATATATTATTATTACATTGCATTCAAATATTCAAGTATTGACTATATTGACTATAAAACGGTTATTTATAATGGTTTTATAAATCCAACAAAAACTGGGCTCAAGTTATCGCTTGGGCACCAAACACAATTTTTACCTACAAAAGTAGTAGGTAATGTATCCGTTATAGGTACCAAGTTAATTATTTTTAACATACCGATTGGGCATCAATACTGATATTTTTATTAACATGTTTTGGCTTTGGTTATATCTAACCAGTGGCAGAAGACTGAAGAGCCATGATCCCCCCTCCATCAGCTGTATTTTTTATTGAAATTTCAACAGGGCCTCTATCTATGATGATAATAGTATGATGATAATAGTATGATGATAATAGTA